GAAACATAGATATACTGTCAGCCCATCAAGTAAGACCTAACTAAGAATCAAATAGAGAAAATTATTTTATTGATAACAATAATGTAGACATTCTGAACAGAATAAAATGTACTACATGTTTTAGTGTCATAGAAAAAAATCGGCTGCCTTTATTTTGTGCAAAACATCATGGTATCTGGAAACTATTCATTTTAAAAGAAGTAACAAACCTTGTTTTGCTCATTTGTGCAAATATTATTTATGCCCATTAATTTCAGCAAAGTCTTTTGTGAACTTCATTATACTGGAGTTCCATGCTCCATGAGATACAGAGTAGGTATCGTCAGGCTTTGAGCTAAATCTATACAGATCTATACAATCTGCATTCTTTTTCAAGAGAATTATAAATAAATGAACAACTCGGGCTGCAGTAACAGAATGTTCTCAAATACACATATAAAACAAGCACCAGCATGTAACAGAACTACCAGAGCAGAACTTGGAGTTTACAAGACTAAAACTTGGGCATATGAATGGCCCAAAGTATTAGAGGGTGGCAGGAGAGAGATAATGTATTGCACTATACAAGTCTTTCATGCTTTCACAAAAGAAAAGCAGCTTTGTCCTTCCATTATGTCATGAATCCTAATTAGCATTAAATGATATTTCATTGTTGGTTCAGATAAGTTTGTTTGCTTAATGGTTTGTTCTTAATACATTCTTCAATGCAACTAGGAAAATATTAGACGAGAATTATTACCATATTGGTCCCACAAAAGGAAAGACAGATTAGATAAAAATAATATTTCCTGTACAAAATAGATTTGTCCGTTGAAAGCTTATAGAAAAAAGTGGCTTTTATACTATGCACAAAAAGATGTACAATTTTAAACTGATGGAATAATTGAAATAATCATTTTAGGAAGAAAAGAAAGCCACAATACAACAACAAAGGAAATGTTTTTAAAGGAGCATTAAGGGGCAAACCACGCAGTATAAGATGCATCACATCTATTTCTTATCAGAAAAAGAAAGTAACTATACAGTAGACATTTATCTCATTCCTCTGCACTAGCTTGTTTTTTGGGGTTCTCTTTTGCCCCCCAAATGCTTGCTGCTAAAAGTACGGTAGCACTTTAGCAATGACCTTACCAGATGTGAGATAATATTTTTTGAATTATGATTAACATTATCAAAGAACTAAATAACATAAATCCAAGCTGCATAAAGAAAAAATATACAGCAAGCACACAAACATCTAAAGTCAGTAAAGAGAGATTTACTGTACATATGCAAATTTATCATTTATATTAAATATATCATTATAGTCAATTGCTATTGATATAAATTACAAAATCCATCCAACTGTGATAGACCTGTAGTTCCTGCCTCTGATATTTCATTATTTTAACATTATGGTTGTTTCCTATTGTAGCCATTTAAGATTTCTTAATTGGTCATTACATTATCTAGAGCAGTGATGGCTAACCTTTTTGCCATCGCACGCCAGGAGCGGGGGGGGGTGGTGTCGAGTGCGCCTGCCCACACCCATAATTCTATGTGCCCTGCCCCGTGCATGCGCGCACGACTCCCCCGCTTTCCCCGCTCCTGGCACGCTATGGCACGGTAGGCCCATTTTTGGCTCTCCCCAGCCTCCAGAGCCTTTCTAGGAGTCTGGGGAGGGCAAAAACAGCCTTCCCCACCCCCTCGGAGGCCCTCCGGAGGCCAGAACAGCCAACTTCCAGTCCCACCAGAGAATAAGTTCCTTTAACTATTTTTATGCTTGAGCTTTAATCATGTAAATAAATGCAATCAGCCAACTTCATTGCCCAACATTGGAAAATAATAATAATGTTAAAATAATGAAATATCGGAGGTTGGTCTTATCTCTCCAAGAACTGTATGTCAAAATTATTTTGCTTTATATTATGAGCTGTAACAGATGAAGGCAAGAGATCAGACAATGTACACATTGCCAATTATTGTTTCTTTCCTGTTATCTCAGTTTAGTATGTGTATTTTATTTATTTTCTACCTTTGAGCAACTATGGATTCCCAACAACTGCCCACACTAGTCCTTGCTTTTAATCCTTAAACTAGCAATTGGCAAGGGACAGTCTGCATGCTGACCAGTCCTCTGGCATGTCTGAGAGAAAGTAAGAGAAACAATGATGATAATAAATAAATAATAAATCACTATGCACTATATCTGCACTTTCTCTTCAATCTAAAGTTCATTCTCTCAATAGACCCTGCAGAAGTCTCACTCATTCATCATCTCAAAAATGGAAAAATACTGACAAATGATGGCTATTGGTAAATATTTCAATCTTTTAAAGTATGCTAAACGTTATACATATTTATTCTGAAAATCTCTTTGTCCAACCATATATTTTAAACACACTACTGTTGAAGTGTACATAATGCTGTGCTATTAGTCACTCTTTTAATGGTGGCAGTTGTATAAATCTATTACTAGAACTAATCCTCAAGTTACAACAACAATTGGGACCATGATTGCTGTCATTAAGCAATGCAGTCACATAGTGCAATGCCATGTAATCACATTGTTTAGTGACAATTGCCATCAGAATGCACAGACTGTTTAGCAGGAAAAGGCAGGAATCTTAGGTAAAGAACATTAAGGGTGCCGGGAGGGACTGTGGGAAGCTGCATATGGGACTGTCCGTGGATCAGGGAGGCTGGGGGAGGTCAGGAGAGGTCCTGTGTGGGTCATGGGATGCTGGAGGAAGTCTTGGGAGGACCAGCAGAGGCCATGATAAGTCTAAGGAGACCTCATAAAGCCAACGTACGTGTGAGGGGGTACTCTGGGTAGGGGGTATTTATTGAAGCAACCTGTGACCTTCCCTGACCAGCTTTCTTATTGACTTTGCATGGAAAGCTACCATAGAACGTCACAAATGCCAATCATGTGACTGAGGCCCACTGCAACATCATATTTGCAAGCTGGGTGGGCATCCAAGTCCTGACTTACAATCATGTGAGCATGGCAGTCTTATAACATCTGATACTTTGGGACCAGCTGTATGTCCATTTTTTTCAGTGCAACTGTAATTTTGAATGAATGGACATAGGCCAAGGACTACCTGTACTTTAATCCACACCTAGGATAATGAAGTCATAACTGATTGTAAAACTGTTTGCACAATAACTTGCTTAAATGGAATAAAACATGACATTTGCACAAGAACAAAAATAAGATACAGAGAGGTTTTGAATTGCAGAATTGTGCCATTGAATTTTAAAACAATGTTAGAGAATCCAGAGTTTTTTTTCCTCATTTCTTACTAGATTCTCTTGGCCCTTAGCTTCCCATCTTGCAATAAATAAATATGAGTAGTTCCAGCCAATGTAATTCTAATCAGTAAACAGGAGAAGGAAGAGCAAGGAAAAGTCCAAAAATTCAAAAGAACAAGAAAGTAAGATCTTCCATTAGCAAAAAAAAAAAAAAAAAAGCTATGGAGTTTAATCCATTTATATATTTCTGTTATTTAAATAAACTAGGTTATTGTTGTTTATATGTGGCAATCTTATAAAGAGCATGCATCTATTGATCAAAAAGATTTGTGCAACTATCCTTTCTCTTCCTCTTTCTTGGAAGTGAAGGAAAAAACACAACATAATTATACATAATAGTTTTTCACATTTTTCACCATCCTACCCAAATCCTTCCCTGAAGCAGGCTGATTGTGCAATAAAAGACTCATTCTTTGGAAACTAATTTTAAAGCAAATGAAAAGCTCAATAATTTAATAAAACCACTTGCCTTGTTCAGTACTACTAAATATATACAACTGAATCAGCCATACTACAATAATGTATATTATGTATCTTGGGACAACTTGTGGTATTTAATTTTATCATAAATTCCATTTATCTTATCTCAGAACTGTAAGTTATCATTTAATATCCACAGTAATATTATGAAGTCGATAATGGTATTTAGACTTTATAAAGCACAGGAAAACAATTGATTATGGTAATATATAAAAGTAAACAGCCGCAACACCACTTCAAAAATAATCCATGTTTTAAAAATGTATTGATAGAAAGTAAATATTTGAAGATTATTTTCTTACATTAAAAAATAAAAAGGGTGTTTATTAAAATTTGAATAGATATCTTCAAATACATCTAGAATAACTCCTTCTCACCTCCTACATGCGCTAGACTACAATTCCCTCACTAAATATCCAGCACAATTTTAAAAGTATTTTATTTTCTATAGTACTACGTTTTATTTTTACATTGTGAGCTACTTCGATCAGAAATTTCTTTGTAGGCAGGCAGTTAAAATGTTAAACAAAAACAATCCAAGAAACTTTAGTGCTTGAAAGCAAGTTTTAAAAAACTAACAATATATTTAATAACTGGCTATTTGCTACACTTTAGATCACCCAGAAATATAGTTCACCATATACTCAAGAGTATAGTACCCTCCAGTCACCTCCCCTTTATTAGAAAATCTGAAAAGAACTTACATATATACTCAAAACTCTGTATCGGAAGTGGCTAACCCTAATATGCAATCCTAGTACCTCACAGAAAGGCCAAAACTCATCTGTGTAGGTAGCAGTAATTGATTTGGCTCTATTTTAGGGGAACAAGGGGATAGATGTGTGTGTGTGTGTGTGTGTGTACACATGTATGTGTGCGCACACACACACGGACACACATACTGTTAACCCACACACACAAAGATCAGACCATTCTTTTTCCTAATTTGCCTATTTCACCCAGCAACTTTTTAAACCGAAACAAATTTTCAAGCACCTATAAACAGATGATTTGCTTCACTGTGCTCTAGTAGCTCAGTTTAAAACATGTTTCTTCCCATCCATACATTTCACATTTCTATTTTTTTACTCCTTTTCTTAGTTAATATAAACAAATCCCATTTTCCTTTTTATTGAGATGTTTTCATAGGAAAACACCAGCATAGCATTGAAAAAGTAGGTTTGTGGATCTTTTGAGTGTCATCAACACCATCTTAAACTTACCGTACATTTGTTTGGCTTCTCCCCCGAATGCACTCTCATATGGATAAGCAATTTGTAACGGGCGTTAAATGGTTTGTATCTTCGAGGGCACCCGGCCCAGAAACAAGTGAAATCTTCCCCTTTCCTCTGGTCAATGTGAATTTTTTCTATATGTCGCACTAGTTCTTCTTGCTGATCGTAGGTAGCACTGCAGTCTATCCAACGACAGCAGTGCTTGCCACTGAAATCATCGAGTTCACTGTCTTCATCTAAAAAACACTTCTGGATAGATGCAGGCAAGGAAAGTGGACGGGGATGGTTGATGAGTGCATGCTGGTGTGCGTGATAGGGAGGCGGTGGACCAGGGGGAGGAGGAAGCACGGGGGGAGCCAGTGAAGAAGCAGAGGGAACGCTATTTGCATTTCCAGAAAAAATATCCCCCTGTCCACCCTTCCCAAGGCCCATAGGCTGGCTCTCTCCTAGACATGTACTTTGTTGAACCATCATATTATTTGTGATCAACGGCTGTAGATTGCTTTGTTCCAACTGTTGCATGCGCTGGTATTCGCCATTTCCATTTTCACTGTAGTCTGGAGGGATAGCATTGCAATTAGCCATAAGAAGCCTTTTTTGAGGATTTGGTATAGAGCAAGTCTGGGGAATGCAGCTTCCCTTTATTCCTAAGAAATGCCCATAAACTTCAGGTTGAGGAGAGATGTTGCATGGAGATGTTCTTGAACCATTTATATACGCAACTAGGGAGGTAGGGGAGGTGCGGATGATCGTATTGAAGTCAATCCCAATGCCATCAGACAAAGGGGACAGAGATAGTGCTCTCTTTTTCGCAGAATGAGATCTGGCTGAGGAATGGTGAGGGCTAGAATAAGGGGGATGGTTGTTTTCCATGCTGAGCAAGTAAGATGGCAATGAAGTAGAAAAGTTGTTGGACATGGATATACCAGATGTAGCATTTGTGACATCACTGAATTGACTGCTGTTTTGTGATCCCAAGTTGGAGGGAAGAGAAGGATAAATTCTATAACCATGAAACCACTCTTGTTTGACACTCTGTATTGACTGGCTTTCCGAAAGGCTCAAAGTTGTGGACGCCAAAGATTCTCGTGATATGAGGGATCTGTGTAAAGATCAGAAAAGAAAGAACAGTGTAATCTTAGCAATTGAATCCTAGATCTTGGTAATTACCAGCAGCCTTTGACTTAGAACAATTAATTTAGTGATCATTCGAAGTTAGAACGGCATTGAAAAAAGCAATTTACACCCATATTTCATGCTTATAACTATTACAGCTTTCCCATGGTCACGTGATCAAAATTCAGATGCTTGGCAACCGGCTAATATTTATGATGGTTGCAGTGTCCTGGAATTATGTGATCAACTTTTGCAACCTTCTGACAAGCAAAGTCAGTGAGAAGTAAAGATTACTTAACAACCATGTTACTAACTTAACAACTGCAGTGATTCATTTTACAAATGTGGCAAGAAAGATCATAAAGTGGGACAAAATTCACTTAACAAATGTCTTGCTTAGCAATGGAAATTTTGGGCTCAGTTTTGGTCGTGGGTCAAGGACTATCTGAATATAGAACAGTTGGCATACACAGCTCAGATAATCTGATTTGATAATCAGATTTAAAACTTTAAATCTTGATCTTTGCATATTCAAATGAGCACTGTTGTCACATATGTGACATATCCAATAAGGTATCACCATAAGAATTTAGCCTTTTACCACTGGAAGTCTGGAAGTCCTCAAAAGGATCTTCTGAAGAACATTAGGCCCTTATGAAAGACCAGTAATGTCTTAGCTGCAGTTCCCTGTTCTTTACCTATTGCTAAAACTAATTTCCAATGTCATCGTTGTCAGCAGCAGCAGCAGTATCATATACTGGTACTTTCCCCATATAATATGAAAAAAGTAAAAAAAGATTCTGCCAAATTTGGTTACAGAATTTTTCATTACACAGGCCATCTACATCAACCACAGATCTTTACCATAAGAGATTAGACATCACTGTTCCCTAAATAACATTTAATTAATAAATCAATCAGCTTACATTTACTAGAAATTTAACTATTAGTATCTCCATGTACATTTGCTCAAGTTTATTTAATGTTTTTCTTTCATTTATTTAAAGCTTACCAACATTACTGTAGCCCATAATTCTAATATCATGGAAGTGAAGTCAGAGGAATCACTGGTATGTACAAAACTAATTATTGGTGATCAATTCAAAATGCTGTAAGGGTGAGAATATGATGGTCACATTGATTCTCGATTGCAATGCAATGTTAAGTGGTATGTACCAGGAAAGATAATTCCAAACTGAATGACATAAAACACTCTTCTGATGGTGCAGATATGATATGCTAAGCCTTGCTCTATTATTGAAGAAAATAAAAACAGAACGCAAGACCTTGTATCAGATGATATATCTGGATTTGACATATTCATAGTCCTCTGTAAACTAGGGCTGATTTGGCTGCATGCTGGCAAGACCTGCTGAGTCGAAGGAGATAGAGGTCCCAGTCTCTGAACCACCATTGGGCTGCTGGTGATTATCAAATTGTTGCAGCTGTTTTTTCCAATGGACTTGCACTGAGATCCGCAGACAAATGCTCCTAAAAATAAAGAAGTCAGATAACCTATTATATCATTTTTTAAATGACTCAATTAATCTCTAGTATGCTATCCATGCATCCATGCAACATTAAGGAAAAACTTTTTCATTAAATGTGGACATACCGTATGTTAAGAGGCCCTCTCTGAATGGCATGGGCTATTCAAAAATTTGAAAAACAAATGAATAAATAAATAAAGTTGCAGTTCATTAATTAACATTAGTGAGGACATCACATTATATAAATCATTTTAATGAAAATAAATGTGGGGTTGCAACTTAATTTGTTTTGCGCTACACTTGCTCCAGTTCACATAGTGAAGATATCAGTGCTTGATACAACAGGTACAGATCTACAGTAAGTATCTTCCTCCACAGGCCAATGGATGATCTCATCCAGGAACTTCACGTGGCTTAGTCATGTGGCAATGCAGTGCTCATCCATATAACTTCTTTCCCCTCCCTCACTGCAATTAACCTCTTGGGGGAAAAATAGCTCCACTACAAGACAGTGCCTTCCACTTTCAACCCTCACAGCCTGGTCCGCCCTGTCCTATGGCATTGAAGGCAACTGAGAGAGATCAAGCAGAACCTTGATTGTATACCTTTGCTATCCTGGTTCAATAAAGGTCTCTAACAAGAGCAACCAATGTAGCTTCAGTCTCATGCACAGGCCTGCAAAGGGTCCAGATAATCCATTTCCTCCAGGGTTCTTTGGAACTGCAGTCCTGCTACCATCTCAACAGGAGTAGGTTGATAATTACCCAAGATAGTTGAGATAAGCTGTGGCTTTTTTCAGAAAGGATCATATCACTTCTTAGGTGGAAGTTTGGAAGCAAAAATGGTTTACTTAAGGACATATTTACAACTGCCCCTTTCACTAGTCAGATAGGGCAGGGTGGTGGTAGAACAATTTGTCCATTTCCTCAGGATCCACAGGCTCAAATCAATCCTAGATTATTTCACAAAAGGCCTTCTTCAATATAGCCAAACCTGGATTTCCCCAAATGAGATCATGTATTTTTAAACAATGTTGCCAGGCATTTCAATTTTCAAAACTAATTTTTAACTAAAGTACATCAAACAAACAGAATTAAGGTAGACTATTGTGTCATATTGGCAACTTATCGATAATCATTACTCAGCAAATCTATGGTACTTATGATAATTTATGGAACCTGAGTGAATCAATATACAAGGTGCAAATGCAAATGGAGTACAAAAACTAATAGTTTTCAAATTTTATTTTTTAGCCAAGAATATTGAACAAAATAATTCCCTTGATTTCTTCAAGGAATATAGACTATATATTTTTGTAAGTTTAATTCATAGTGGAAAACAGGGAACTATTTTTAAGTACAACTTTAACCACAAATTGCAGTTCTGAAATACCACATTGACAGCAATTGACCTTTTTCAATACCCTCTTTATAGAGGAAAAAAAGGTGTCTATCTATATGTATTATTAGTAATAAGATGGTGATAAATTTACACTATGCATCCATGTAACATGAATTTGGCTTTCATGTTGAAAATACAAGAATCCCTTTCCCCTTTTCTTTTTATTTCCTGAAACCTTTATTTACTACAGAGAGCAAGAAAGATGACTGATAGAAAAAGGCCAGATCCATTACCAAAATGGTAAGGGAAAAAATACCAGTTAAGTCCAAAACAAGAAGTATGGGCAAGTAACTCAGGCTAACACCTCCCCAATTCACATCCTATGCTTTCCAGAGGAAAGGAGAATAAAGCAGTGTCAAACTTGCAAGATTATATTACTACAGACAGTATTAGTAAAAGTAGTTTGATGGGGCTGACAGTTAAATTCCAGAGGAAGTTTATTTATTTATTTATTTATTTATTTTATTTATTTTATTTATTTATTTATTGGTTTGATTTATATGCCGCCCTTCTCTGGAGACTCAGGGCGGCTTATGATGCGTTAAGCAATAGCCTTCAAACTTTTGTATATACCTGCTTAGTAGGGCTTTCGCCCGCCCCCGCCCCCCTGCGGTGTTCTTTTTTATACAAAGTCAGCTTATTGCCCCCACAAACCGGGTCCTCATTTTACCTACCTCGAAAGGATGGAAGGCTGAGTCAACCTTGAGCCTGGTGAGATTTGAACTTGCAGTAATTGCAGGCAGCTGGTGTTACTTAACAGTGCTTTAGTCTGCTGAGCCACCAAGGAAGTTCCCGTACTACACTGCTCTCGAGGATATGGTAGGAAATATGGTAATCCACTTGTATACTGTTAACTACTGGTGAATTCATTGTCGATTCTATGTATTTTTTGCAACAAAATTATTGAAATAGTTTTCCATTGCCTTCTTATATTTAGACTTGTCAACTTCCCAGTCTGTCCCACTGCCCATTCTTGGTTGTCTTTCATTCTAAGTATGGATCCAATCCTGCTTAATTTTCTGGAATCAGACAAGGTTGGATATGTGTGGCATATAAAGTATGACCAGATAGAGACAACTCCTCTAATATTGGTGGCAATTATGGGATCTATAATTACAGAGGGATTTAAATTGAAGAAGATACCAATTCTGATTGCTTTCTTCAAATTTGGATCATAACTTTTTTGACTGGTAAAATCTGTGATGTTCCTGTAGAATGTACAGGAATTTCTATTAACATTTTTCTTTAACATATAATTTTTATTCCATAATATTAGTAGAGATGGTTTTGGAATTCTTCATACAAATACTGCTTTTTTCATATTTTTTGTTGTTGATATTATTGTTTGTCATTTTCATTACTGTTTATCATATTCATACTAAGCTCTGATTAGGGACCTGTAATTAGCAAAGAATAAAAATACATGAAGTTAGGCATTCATAATCAAATGAACAGAATTGTCATCTAAAGATGGAAGAAAGCCAGTTTGTTTGGGGAAAAAGAGATAATTGTGAAAGGCAACATAAAGACAAAATGTCAGAAAAAAATCTATTTGTTTTGTCCACTTAACTACTTTCAAAACTTGGTAAAAGTTATTAGGAAACACTATATTAATAGTCCTGCATTTTAGTACCATGTGTGAAAAACATAAAGAAGGTTTGAAGAAAAAACTACTTTACCGGGCCTCTTGAACAAGAATACATATCTTGAACAAGAATACCATCACTGCTTCCTTATTGAATGCCTGTCTCTATGAAGAAAGCACTAAGTTAAGTTGCTGACTGGAGAGACAAGAATCTGTTTGGTTTGCAAGATTTTATTATCAACATCTCAAGTCTTTTTTTGCTTTTCCATATTCAGTTGGCTCTATGCAAAATATGGAAAGAAAGAGAAAAAGAGGACAAACAGCAGCAAGATGGATGGACTCAGTTACAATGGTGATGAATGCACTATTAGAGGCCGGAAGGACCAGGTTAGGGAGAGATCATCATGGAGAAAATCTATCTATGTAGTCACTAAGAATCGACAATGGCTTGATAATCAGTCATATAAACAGACAAACAAACAATATTCCAGTTATGATTACCAAAATGAATAAACCTTTTTTCTCAAGATGCTGGAAATACAATGAAGAAATTGGATCTTTCTTCCATGTCATGGCAATATTGCAAACCATACTGGAAATTAATTCATCATATAGTTCCAAAAGTTGTAATCCCATTTCAACCTGAGTGGTTTTTTTTTAATTAAACATGACTAAGCCACATATTTCTTAAAAATACCTAAAAATTAAATCTGATGTACAATTAAAATTTGTTTGGAAACCATTTGTGTACAATTTTATATATGGAATTGTGTCAAAACCCAAATTTGGATTCTAGACTTCATTTACTTATATTAATTAGAATTTAAAATGACATCTAATATAAACTTTATTTACAGTGATTTTAAATACATTGTTTAATTTTAATATTTTTGCATATTTTCTGTTTTCTCTTGATTTTAATTGCACCTATCAAATATTTTCATAACTTAATAGAGAGATGTTAGATGTAAAATGTATACAGCACACTAAGTATTAATGTATGAGAACCTACTAGTTATATAATGGTTTAGCTTTGCTGGTTATTCAAGATTTTCTAGAAATTAATCATCTATATTTTATTGTTTATATTAAGAGTTTTTTTCCTTAATATCCATTTAAATCTGTACAGTATTTATTTATATATGAACCGGTAACTATTATTTCTGTTCTTTTTTCTTTAAAACTACAACAAAATTAAATAAATAGAAGAATAAAAAATAATGTTGTCCATATATTATAGTTTACTCTATGTTCCTCAACTAATTTGATATCATCAGCTGCAGATGAATGTATCTTCCGAGTTTCAATATTAATTAAATTCAAGACTAGTTCAGTTGATGCCTTTGAATATGGAATGAGGTGGAGGCAATATCTAATATTTAACTTGAAGCCACTCATATCTTGAATCAATCTTGGCTAAAGATACAACTTTTCCAGAAAATGCTAAGCAACAAGAAAAAAATGTTCCAAAAAAATTACAATTTATGCTACAAACTAATACCCTTCATAGCTACTGTAGAAATTCATTTTGATACCTTATAAAATGTATCATATATAATTTTGTTACTAGGGTCAATTAAATTAAGCAAGATCCAATCTGAATTTGCAATTCAACCCAAAAAATCCATTCAATTTGAATTTCCTAGTCCAATTATCAAATTAATTCAGTTTGGAGACTTGATTTAAGAAAAGTATGCATACATATGAACAAATATGCATGGAATGTTGATGGAATGATTTGATCTAGTATTCTCTGAAACTTCCCTAAAAGCTACAGAGGCTGAGCTCTAAGCAACACAGTATCTTTTCATTTTTACTTATTCATGAGAAGTATGTAAAAATTAACCCTGAAAGAGAAGAAACCACATACAGTAAGTCTAGAAAATAATATTTTGTATGCTAGAGGTGCTCCCTGTTGTAGCAAAAAAATATAACACTGGCACAGAGGAAAAGGAGCAATTTCTCTTTGTGGCTGCTTTACTATCAAGCCATATTTAAAGCATGCCCCATTTGAT